TATGGGGCTGGAGAGTATAACTACAGGCTAATTTTAAGTGGTTGGATCTTTTTGTTCTTCTCTCTGTTCTCTCTCTCCTTCCTTCTGGATCCATCACCCTAGACCTCTGTGGTGGATTGCATTTTCCAAAGATGACTGCACAGCTCCACCCATTCCACCTTATCTCCTCATAACGTGCCCTTGCACTCCTGTCTTTGGGAGGCAGAACCTGCATTCTCTCCCTTGAATCTGGTCAAGACTGTGACTGTGTGGGAGGTGGCACTGTGTGACGGCTGAAGCTGAGTCATAAAAGGTGATGCAGGTTCTACCTCAGCTCTCATGAATGTTATATAAGTGGAATCGTGTATTGTGTAACCTTTTGACATTGGCTTCTTTCACTCAGCTGGAGATTCACCCACGTGCTGCATATAACAGTAGGTCATTCCTTTCTATTGCTGCAGAGTGTCCCATGGTATCAACATACCACAGAGTTCTTAGCCATTCACCTGTTGAAGGACATCTGGGTTATTTCCAGTTTGGTGATAATCCAAATAACACTGCTGTGAACATTAATATGCAGGTTTTTGTGTGAACATAACAGGATACATCCTGGAATAAATGTCCAAGAGTAATTGCTGGGTTGTATGGTAGCTGCCTGTTTAGTTTTTTAAGAAACTGCCAAACTGTTTTTGAGAGGGGCTATACTATTTTACCTTTCCCCATTCCAGCATTTTAAATGTTGACATCTAATTGAGAAAACAATAGGAAGTCACTGAATGAACATTCAGCCCCAGTGTGACTCAAGATCCCAAAAAGAAGCCCAAGAGCCATTGTGCCCACAGCAGAAGAGGCAATTGCACGTCCACCCCGCTGGTTAAGGGAGACTTGGCTATGCCAGGCTCCCCCTGGAAAGAGGAGCCCCAGCCCCACTGAGCCAGGCCTGTTGACCCTTCTTTACCCGGGGCAGCAGGCAGCACCAGGTGCTCCTGGGCCAGCTGGCCGGCCTGAGCATGGGTTGTTTCAGAGTTCAGGGTGTTGCTTTGAAGGGGAATTTTCTGGAAGAAGAGCATATCCTGGGCTTCCTGACCTGAGGCAGACTTACAGACATGGCTCATTGTAAGAATTCTGCAGATTATTAATAGAGATGGCATTCAGTGGCATGTCCACTGTGAAACAAAGCCCCCCTGCTTTAAGATCCCACCTCTCTTCTTTTTCCTAACCCAGATCTCTTCTCTTCTCTTCTGCAGCACCTACCCATTCATGGAATCAGAGCTTTGGAGCTAGAAGGGACCAATTAAGTGGTGGCTTTGCTGGTGAAAAGCCCTCTTTCCAGGACTGGGAGTTCGTTTGCCTCACAGCAGGTGGGGGCCCCTGAGGAGGCACACTTCTGGGCAGTGAGAGACAGTGGGATGGGGGCACAGGGCGCTGGAGGAAGTGTTAGATGATGGGTCTCTGATCCAGTGTCCGAGGCGGAGAGACGCCCGCTGGGCCCTATGAACTGTCCTAGACCCCGCGTTCAGGGGCAGAAAGGTGGCGCCCACAACGGGT